AGTGGGGGGTGAGGGGGCAGGGGGAGATTGGGTTGTGTGTGCTTTTTTTGCCAGATTCCTCTGAGGGTAGAAAGAGACAAAGTGTCTTTGCCTGTTCTAAACGGAGGGCAAAACAGTATTGGCAACTTGGGATTATTCAACCCTTCCTTAGTGAGTTGGCCTTAAAAGAGCTGATGAACAATAGGCATTCCCTCCTCCAAGCTCACCAAGCTCCCCACCCCATAATATTGTCCTGGGAACTTCATCTTCCTCTCCGTGCATCTTTCAGCACCCACCTGCCTTCCCCTGCCCCTTATGTGGAGCGATACTGTCCTTGGAAGCGTCACTGGAAGAGGAAGAGAAAGATCAGGTAGGGATCAGATATTAGAAAGAATGAAGGGACTTCAATAAGACACTTGCAGTACCAGACTGGCCAACAAAGCATCACGCTGTCTTACACACAACCATGAAATAAGTGAATCCACGAACACTACACCTTACTGGAAGAGGGGTTAATTATGTCATCAGCTTGAGCCAATTATATACTCTGCTGGAATAACCTATCCAAATCTCACACACTAACATCTAACAAAGAAGATGGACCTCTAGTGAGCCCACTAGGATCCATTCTTGATCCTATTGTATGAACTGATGGTATCCAAGACCTTGAAAGAAAATATGTAATAAATACGCATGTGACTGAAAGAATGGAAATGTGATAAACAGAGCAAAAGATAATGTTTTACACTGAGGAACAAGGAGCTCGGGCCATTCCTTGGAAAGGATGACATTCTGAGAAAAAGAGTCTCTGTTGGTTATACAGTTGAATCACACACAAGTCTCCAGTGAATGAATTGGCTAGATGCCTATTACCAACAATGAGAGCTTTGATACCCACCACACAGGAAGACATCTAAATTTAGGTGTCATATTATGGAGCTCACTCACACCCTAAGAGGACGTCTCAGAGTAGCAATACTTTGTTCTCTGGAGGATGAACATGAGTCTAAACATTTTCATACACATCTTGAACTAATCCACTTGTCCATAGCTACTTTTTTCTTTCCTCAATACTTTAAGTAATGAATTATGATTCCTTATATTAATTTAAAAGAAAGCATACAGCTCAAGATCTTCACTTAAAAATTAAAGTAGACTTTAATTTAAATTATTTTGTTAGTCTTTTCCAGCCCTTGAGTCTTTGGGTTTTCACACAGTGAATCAAAGCTTTAGTAAGTACATACATTTACAGATCCATTCATTAGATTTCCTTTGTTCATCTTTTACTGTTGTCTTATCCATATGAAAAGTTAATAGAATCATGAAAAGTTAATAGTATCAATGCATTCAATTCACTAATTGTCCTAAAGTATGATCTAATAAAAATGGGCTTTTTGGACTCACTTTGCACTGAGAAGATGAATTATTTTCAGATAAGTTTTTATGTATTTATATCTCATTGTCCAGAACAAGACTAACTCCAAAATTCTTCTAGATAGCTAAGGACCTTAGTATATCCCAATAGTTGTCAAGGAAATCTCTCATCCAGAAATCTGGATTTTCATTGTAGTGAATGGGACAGAGCATATTACATTAACATATAGATATCTGTTCCTCAGAATAATCATCAAATTTGCATTATTTTTTATTCTGCATTTCAGAAAATGTTTCATAGTACTATGTCAGGACTGAAGCAATGCATAACATAGATTGTAAGATTCAACCTTAGTCTCAGTGCCCATAGCCACTTGCTACAAGACCTCCAAAACACTGTCTGCATAACATGGCAAATGTTGCAGAACCTGTAAATTATTTAATGGAAGTTCAATCAGGAGTGTGGAGATTCTAACAGACAGTGTTATGCCCCGGTGAAAGTATCCTTCAATGTATTCAGGTGTGATGTGAATTCTAAAAATGTCAGTCTTAGAGCTCCAGGTGACAAGATCATCTTTGGATACAGCTCTTCAACACTGAAGAGAAAAGCTGCAGTGAGAGCTGCAAGATGCATCACGGAAAAGCATGGGCTGATGTTTTTCCCCCTGTTGGGTTTCCACCCTCAGTTCTTTACAATGGCAATTGGAATACAACTGCAGAGACCATTTATAGTGCTGGAATAAATGGCAGAAAATATTCTTTCTGCATGCAACACACCTTTAAAAGGAGTCAGACACACAGTATAAAGACTTTCATGCTTGATTTCCCCATTATGTCAAGTCCAACCAACCCACCATAAAGGTAGAAACATGATTTTCTTGACTTGGACAGGAATTTAATCAGCTTATTGTAAGATGTTTGTCAGAGAAATAACCAAGCCATTCCCTTAGGGGCTTCAAGTTGGAAAGTAGAGAATGTGTGTTTTGCAGCTTCTTTTGCCATTTTATTGGAAAAGTTGGTTATATTGAATTGTGGGATGAAGCAATTTAATATTTTGTTGCCCCGTGCACTACACGCTAATCTGAACCGAAAAAACCAATGCACTGTTGATTCTAATCGTAATTTATTGCTAGTTAAATAAGGATCTCTTCAATAAGGAGAAACATAGTTTGTGGGAAGGAAGCTATTTTGGGTTTTAATGAAATTCAAGACAGTAAAACAGCTTAATCGCAGGTTCAGAATTAAGTATGTCAAAATGGTATTGCCTGTGCTTGAAAGATTTCACCACCAAACAGCAAAATTCTCATGAAGTCACATCTCCTAATAGACTTTTCAGACTTAAGTAGAAATCTCATAGGCATAACTGTTCTCATTGCTGCTCTCCACACTCAGATTGGACCCAGAAAATGAACGCATACATGTAGTATTAAAGGTCAGAACACAGGGGACCCCTCAGTGAATTTATCAGTATTAGAGGGACTCCTTTCTGAAAACCAGCAATCCTAAGACAGAATTTTGTTGTGGCACACAGCAAAGATGGTATAAAAACATGATACCAAAAATGCCTCGCTCTCTGATGAGTATGTCTGTAAAAATGATGTCTGCCCTCCAGTGCAGTAAATTCTTGTTCTACCAAAAAGTGGCAATATGAGTTCTAAGTTTGCTTCCAAAACTTAAAATTAGGAAGATTTGATTTCTTTTCTGAATCTATAATTTTTCAAGGATCAGTTGCCTACATTTTGTTTTCTTTTTAACTCCAAAGACTAGAAAAAAATAAATCAACCTTTCCACATTATCAGAAGTAACTCACAAAATGAAACATGTTGGTGTGGAAATTACATATAGTAATTCTTCATGTTAATGGTAGGAAGCAGCAGATGCAGATTGCTATTTAGAACTGGGAAAAACTCATTTTTTCTGATGATATAGAAACTGAAGATCTTGGAGTATGCATTTTCATTTTACACATCTGAAAACAGGATGAAAACACTAATCAAATTTTTTATATCCTGTGTACTTGAGAATAAGGAGTAGACACTTAAGATGTTACAATATGTACTGAATTATGCCTTTAAATTAATTCATTTTGACTCGTATAGTTTATATTTAGCTTCATCAGCTAACCCATTTTTCAGTGAAATCTGAAGTAATACAATATCATAAAATATTTTATATTAAACATGAAGGGCTTAAATAAAAATACATGACATTTCTTTCTAAAGAAATCTGAATCATGCTTTATGGATGAATCAATTTGTAGTTATGGTAAAAAATGTTTCACAAATATAGCTGTAATTCAACAATAGTACTCTCATTTCTAAAAATGTGATTTACCTCAATTTTAAATCTTGTGTTTTGAGCTGGATGCAGTTTGTCTCCTTTGGTGCTAAATGCTTCAATGAAAGATGAATTCCTGGCAGAGGGCTGGAAGGAGTCATTGAATCTAATTCCTTACTGTTGCAAGTCGCCACATCATCTAATCCTTTAAATTCCACTTTAAAGCTAGTTAGGGTTTGGTTTTTGTCTGTCTCTGTTTCTTCTAATTTCAAGCTTAAATTTGTTTCTTATTTGTTCATATCCATTTGCTGTGCCAACACTGTCTCAGCTTAGAAGTTTTATTTCCTTTTACCTTCCTTTGTCTCAAACAAGCAAAACTCTTCTGTCACACTACAGGCTTTCCATTCTTATGGTCATCTTCATGGCCCTTCTCCCCACATACCTGCCAGAATTCAGTGGTTCAACCTGTACACATTATTCCAGATGAGCTCTCACCTTGTACAATGGCATTGTACTTCCCCATCTTTAGCAATACAACATTTGGCACATCCAAGCACTGCATTTTCTTTCTCATGGCTGCATTATAGTGATAGCCTATTGTCAACCTGAGACTACAACTACACCCAGGGATAATTCTTTTACTGTCTTTTCCACATTAAGAGTAGGAGTTCTGCTGTTAGTCAATCAAGTGCAGGACTTTTTTTCAGTGCAATTGCATTTCATCTTTTTTCTAATGTAGCATTCCTTAAAATCAGCTGACTCCTCCTTCCATTCCAGTTCACTCTAAATAGATGATCCGTTCCAATTTCATGTCATCAGCAAATTTCACTTGTTTATTTACTTTTTTGCATCAAAGTTGTTGAAGATATTTAGCCATTTTGGTGCCAGTGCTTGAGGAATTTCATTAGTAATTTCTTCCCAATACATGCATTTCTGTCACCTGCTGGCCTTTGCTTATCTGCTAATAGGGAAAAAAAAAAGTGGTAAGCTACTTTATTTTCCTATCCTATTACTCAAAAGCAGATGAACATACATTTTGGACACATGCAGCTCTGGTGTCATGTTTATCATTTCTTGCCTGAGATCAATTTTAAAAAAAAAATCCATGAAGTTTTAAAAGAGAATTTATATACTCAAAGCAGGACACCTGAAGTACACTATTTACAGTCTTTACATTTTGTCTTTGTCATAACACTGTGCTTAAAAAACCTAAAGCTCAAGCAGGGTCACCTACAGCAGGTTTCCCAGGACTGTGTCCAGACAGCTTTTGAATATCTCCAAGGATGGAGACTCCACAGATTTGCTGGGCCACCTGTGCAAGTGTTTAACCACCCTCAAAGAAAAAAAAAAAAAGCTTTTTCTTGTGTTTAGATGGAATTTCATGTGGTTTAATTCGTGCCAATGGTCATTGACATGTTGGTGGGCACTACTGAGAAGAGTCTGGCTTTGTCTTCTTCATTCCCTCTTGTACCGGGGAGCCCAGAACTGGACACAGTACTCCTGATGTGGCCTCACCAGTGCTGAGTAGAGGGGAAGGATCATCCCCCTCAACCTGCTGGCAACACTCCTCCTAATGCAGCCCAGGATGTTGATGGCCACCTTTATCACAAGGGTACATTGCAGGCTCATATTCAGCTTGTTGTTCATCGGGATCCTTCATAATTTGTCTTTAGTAACTGCTGCTCACTACAGAAATACCCAGTACAATATAACTGAGAGTGGATTTTCTCTCGGAGAATGATTTTAAGGATTTGTACAATTCCTGGCAAATTAAGACAATAAGCAACTCAAATAACCACACCATTGCAACGTTGGAACCAGGGTGGAAATTTGGAACTTGTTGTGCAGATTTGTTGAAAATCTTTCCCCTTTTTTCTTTCAGTCCTTTTTAGTGTTAACTTGAAGTGATTGACTGTAAGATGGAATCTTCTATTTAAATGACCTTATTAAATGTGAATGATAAATCACAGATTCAGTGACCAAAGTTTGAGCAAATTATTTTGGCATAGGAGAATCTTGCAAGGTAGCAATAAAGCTCCTTAGTTGTTTATGGCATCTTTGCTTGCTGTTGAATCCCCACTGTTGTGTCTGTGTTCCCTCTGATGCAGTCTTCTTCCCAAACCGATTTCTCACTGAGACACCACAGGGAAGCCCCTGTGAAGCAGAAGGTTTGACCTGAGTTGAACAGCAGCCCTACGTATGTGCCTGTTTCCTCACCAAATTCAGAAGTGCAAATGTTTTTCTGCTTTGCATTTTAGACTGGGAACAAATCTCATTAGGTCCTTGTGGTGTCTCTTCTGACTCTTGACCTTTTAGCCTTGGCTAAATATATAGTTGTCAGAATCTTAACATTTTGTTATGGATCTGGGGGATTGGACCGTGACCCATTATTTCTCCAAGAACATTTTAAGGCCCTGCTCTATAAACATACTGAATAATTCCATCTAATACTGTACAGCATATAAGGGTCTAGCACAAAGGTTACTTTTAAGCTTTGTTCTCTAAGGCCTACCTTTCATTCAATATGAGATCAGAGGTTTCAGCCTATGATAGTACAAGATATGCAATTTCTCAATATGAGCACGTGATTAAGGAAGTTCATTACCGCATATAGCAACTACTGCCTTTAGCTGCCTTGTTATAACTATAATGCACATGACCCAAACTCTAAGATAAAAGCCCTGGTTTTAACCTCAGTAAATGTGCTCCAAGTTTGCAATAAGGCTGATTTAGAAGCAAACACGTACTTATTTACTACCACTGAAGCAGGCAGTAGCTTGCCTCCACACTCCATGATCAGATTTTGACTGTCCAATAGAAAATACCCATGAGACACCATGATGAGATGCATGCCCATGAGTCAATGAACAGGACTGTGAAGGCAAGATGCAGCCAGGAGACCCTTTGGACAGAAAAGGAACACATCCTTCTCCATGGCAAACCATCCCTTTTCGCAGGCCCGCTAAGGGCTCTCCCATTGCTCCGGATACACACCCCAAAGTCAATGCACTTGCTTCAGCAAGGATGGAAGGGTAATACTGCTCAGTGCTTTTCCATTGCCAGTCCCTCATAGTTTAAGGTGATGGTCCATTTCTTCCTACAAGAGTTGTAAGAGTGACAGCTGTGTTATCTACTCTTGACCTTTATAAATGGCTTTATTTTCCCATGCTAGCACAGAGTTCCCATTTCCTCCTCTTTGCCTTTTCAACATGATATCCTAGCACAGATGGGGCAAGTGGATCTGTTTGGACTATCTTCTGAGCATAAAAACATGTCCTAATAATGTCATAATAATGAGATCATTCATGAGTGCTGCAGTGCTGTTTCTTCTGAACCCAAAACACCTCCAAAGCAGTTACTCCTTATTATGTTAGACAACAAGCATGCAATAATGCACATAAATGAAGAGTAATGAATGAAATGCAACAAAGATTTGAAAACTTCAGCTGGATGTGATCACAAAAAGAAATATTTTCATATGTTATCTATAGCTGGAAAAAGTACAGGAAATTACCAGAACTGAAAGCTTTTCAAGCAATAATACTTAACACCTATTGCAATGAAGTTGTTGACTGGAATATAACATTGCATTCCTGGCTCCCTCGCATTTATGTTACCATTTACTCTTGTTGAAAAATACCTACTGCTACTGTGAGGGATCTTTTTACTATTGTTGTTATTATTACAAAATAGTCCAGCAAAATAGCATTGCAAGACTGTGAACTGTCCATCATATTTGAATCATTCTTTCGCTATAGTCTCTTTTTCAGTAAAAGTTACTTGGATTTACTAAGAATGGCCTTGAGATGTTTTGCCTGAAATGCTTATTACAGAGCAATACACCCCACATAACCCCTTGCCACTACGGCTTAGTATCTTGTGATTTCCTAGGATTCAGGATTTTTAACTAACAATGTACTTTTTAAAAGTTAAATCTCTAAAAATACTGACAGAAATGAGACAGTAGACTTTGCACTAGAGAGGAAAGAAAAAAGAACATGTTTTGTTCATGGGGGGCTGCAAATATAGTTTATTTCATGTTTTGCATCTTTGCTTTCTTTCCACAGTGAAATCAGATGAGTTGCAAACAATCAAGAAGGAATTAACCCAAATCAAAACAAAAATTGACTCCTTGCTAGGGAGACTGGAAAAGATTGAAAAGCAGCAAAAAGCTGAAGCAGGTAGGTGAAAGAAATTTGTTGTCACATGAATTAAATTAGAACCTAGTAATCAGTCAAGCAGACAGACCAGAGAGAACGGAAGCCTTCCAGAAATTTTGCTACATAATGGAGGCCTGAAGCAAGGTAAATTAACTCTCAGGTGGAACTGTTGGAAGGATAAATTAATATTCTTCACAGAGCATGCAACATCATTTCAAGAATTGTTTTCTATGGTGTAGTAGGAAAAAAAAGAAAATAAAAGATTCTTACTAGATGTTCTGGAAACAAAACATCACTAAAAAATTGACGGAACAGAGTTAAGTTAGAGGTTGCTGACCTTAGGGGTGCTTGTGCTATCCACTTTAAGAATTATTAGATGGTCTATAACAGGAATTATTGCCTGGGCAATAGACAATAGTCACAAGTCACAGCAATGGAAATTCCTGTTTGATGTAAGGAAAAGAGCTGCAACTAAGCAGTATAGCAGGTTGCCCAGAGATACTGTAGTAGCTCCATCCTTGGAGACATTCAAAGCTCATTGGGCCAAGGCCCCATGGACCTGGACCAAACTTTGAGTTTGGCCCTGCTTTGAAGAGGGGTCGAACTTGGAGAGTCCAGAGATCCCTTCCAACCTAAGCTATTGTGTGAAGCTGTGGCATCTCTGTAAAACCGGCCGCACCTCTAGTTCAGCTTTCTCTGGCTTGAAATGTTTTGTTTTGAGGCAAACCTTGGGAATGACAAAATCCAACACTGCTTTTTAATTTAATCAAGATCTTTATTTCTATCATTGCAGTGAACATTTTGTTAGCTGAATGATCTCACCTGGCAGCACTTTAAAACCATACTGAGCAGTTATAAGGGATTTATAAGGTTGCATTTTCACTGTGGTATATATAGAAAACAATCTCAGTTCTTACCACTGTCTGTGGTATTTCCTTGGCTATTTCCTTATAAATCACATGGTATATCTCTGTACAGGAGCTGTGTATTAGCAAGCTGATTTTGATGAGAGCCAGCAGTGAAACGGAAGCCTTATCTCGTGAAAAATCTCAATGTTCTTATTTTTTTTCCCCCTCCATTCTCTAATGAAAATTTTTTTTGTATTTTGTGTGAAACGTGTGAAAGAAATTCTGCCTTAAAATCCACAGCTGCCTGGGTGTCTGGGCACTCCTAACTTGAATCAGCTACGTGAAGCCAAAAAGACCCAACAGGACACATAAAAAGAGCTCCATCAAGACTGTCTAAAACGTTGGTGGGAATTAGCAGTTGAGGTTCATGAACCTGACACAGGCAAAATAGATATCTAGATCTGGATGCCTCCTGTTCCTGTGCCTGCCCTATTTGCTGATCTGTTGCGGAGGTATCTCTCTGAACCCAGAATTTTCCTACTGGCATTCAGAAATAACTCTAATGAATGTCTTCCTAGGACAGAACACTACGGAAAAATATTTTACGGTTAACAATTTAAAACAAAACAAAACAAAAACAGCTCTTTAAAAAAAACTGCCTTTTATTTACAATCATTTTCTAAGTTGACAGACAAGGACCAGTCCCTCAGCTGTTATAGTTCACCCCACAAAATAAGTTGAGTGCTTTTTTCCAAGTCTAAGGTAAACCATTAGTACAGAGTGTGATTATCCCTTTTAGGAGAACTGTACACAATATGTATTCATTATATTCTATTTTGTACTTTATGCAAGTTAGATAAAAGTTGGAATAATCAGTGAAGATGTAATTGCAAGGCACTTCATTGAATCACTTGTGTACTGAAATGCTCTGAGATGGCATATCCCCACTTCAGGGAGCTTTTATATAAAATCCATTACTATGCAAAACAACCTGCATGTCATTGTACTTTGATATCCAATTTTCATGTTTGCTAAAGAACTGTAGTGAACTCATTTAAATAGAAATCAGCTCAAAGAGGAAAACGTTGATTTGTATTGAATCATACTGTTACGTCTTTTGAAGACAAGCAATGAATAATCTCCTCAGAGATTAAAAACTGGTTTCAAATTGTTGATGTTTTAAAACATCACGTGCAAAACTTGTCCCCTATTCCTTGTCTGTCATCGGAGAGTGTGAGGAGAAAAAATACCTCAGAGACACCAGTAAACCTGGATCCCCATTTAAGTCTCCTGAGCTGAGGAAGAGGGTTATGCAGCCTGGGTGATTAGTCTGCAGATGATTGCTTCCTCAGCTAAAAGATTTGTATAAGATAAGGCTACATCTGTAGCTGAACTATTTTATTTGTGGTGTCAGATGTGACATGATTTTGTTCCTTCTCTATGGTTTGGCAATATTATTTCTTACTTTCCTCTGCCAGAAGGTGTGCCCTTACTAAGACTGGGATCAGAGAGAGGATCTATGTCTCGTTTACACAAAACAAAAATCAAGCCATCATCTTGTCCTTTTGGCTTTTTAAGTTTTCATCACTTTCATGAAGAATATTTAGTTATTAATCTTAAAGGTTATACATCTGGAGGAATGTGACAGGTTAAACAGACAAGCTGGACAAGCTCAGTGCATACATTGGTTACTGCTCTACAGCTGTGTGAAAACTCTCCTTACAATAATGGCTGATGTTCTGTCTTCTACTATTATCAACCCCTGACCATTCCAATAGAGGGAATATAGATGAGAGGATTTCCTGTACATAGGGAAACTGCAAGAATAGCTCCTTTGTTTGTAAAAATCTGAATCCAGAAGCCAGGGATAAGAAGCTGTTCTGATGTGAAGAAATTGTTAGAGGAGAATATTCTCCCTGTAATATGAGAGATGGGTGCTGAAAGTTTAGCTCCTCAGAAGAGCCCAAAAGAGTTAGATGCTGAGCTGGTATTTTAGACTCCTCTGAAGAACCCAGCCTACGTTCTCATTCAGACAATTAAGTAAGTGAGGGGTTTTGTGTGGTTTTTTTTTTTTTTTGCATCTGTACCCTAAGAGTTTTCCCATTTAAATGTATTAAGTCCATAATTTCAGGAACCCTTTTTGGAACCCTTGACCAAAGTTGATTCAGTTGTCACTGCCACAGCTGGGTTAATCTCAGAAGTGGCTTGAAGCAGAAGGTGATGGGGCAGGACATAGTAGGCATAGCTGGCTCAGTCCACATTTCCTTGCGCAGTAAGGCAGGTAACACAATGACTTATAACTAGCATGGTATTGTATAGAGGACCTTACCAATAGATGATAGGCTCCATGGGCTGAATCTTCTACTAATATGTGTGACTACAGTACTGTCAAAGCAGTTATCTAAGATGACTTTTTATTCTTTAAGTCCAAGAATCTTTCTGAAGAAATTATGACTAAGGGAGAAAAGCTTACTTGTGTCTTCAGTAAACGAATTTGAAAATGAGGGATTAGAGACTAACAAAGACTGAAGAGATGAAAGTAAGTTGCAAAATAAATGTGCAGAGGTAGAAGGAAAAACAAATGTCTTGGTTTAAGACTATGATACAGAGAAGTGTGAGCAGATTTGAATACTATATGCAGCTGGTAATAATTCATAGTAAAATAATAATAAATTCATAGAGAAGAAAAATATAGAGTTTCACAGGCAATCTCATTGGCAATTCATTGCCCATCCAACAAGATAGGTGATGCACTACTAGTGTTACAGAATGGTCAATCTAACAAAGAAAGAAATGGTTTTGTTCTAGAAATTTGATCATTGATGGGTATTGCATATTCAGACTGAAAAGACATTGGTATTCCAGCTACAGGCAACCAGTTCTCTGGCCTGTATTCACTTTGAGTACATAAAGCTTTTCATCTAAACTCCTGATGTGCATAGGAATAAGACTCTGATCCCTCCAACCACTCTTCTGGCCAGTCTGTCTCTGTCATTCCTCCCTCAATGCTCCTCTGGATTTCTGCTGGCTGGATGAAATTCCTCAGCATATCCAGGAGTCTCACAATACCTAATCACAACAATGCAGCTATCTGCACTAAGCCAACCAGAACAGATCCTCTGGGCCTGCATGGAAATGGTCTTTCTGTTCACCGCTTTGCAGAAATTATAGAAAGCCCTATATTTGGGTAATTGGAGGGGGACATTCTCTAGTTACCTTGGCGCATTATACCAATGGGAAGAAACTGTTACTTTGCTCCATAAAAAATGTGTTCAGTTGCGTAGAAGGATTTGTTGATTATCTGTATGATTGTTGAACTATATTCACGGCAAATTTATGCAAATCCTCATGCACTTATTGGCAATTAACAGCCTTTTGCTTCTCAGAGCATAGAGATTTATGTACTTCTCATTGGCTGCAGATAAATACATATATGGTGACTATGCCAATTGGATTCCCAGGGCAAAGCAAAGTCCAGGAAATGAAAAAGCTGGATCTGCTGGTACCTCAAGCCTTCATCCACTGCATGGGATAGACGAGCATGTTGGTACTATGGTTGATTTATGCATTAATTTTTGAAAACAAGGGTATTGATCATTTTTGCCTGGTAGATACTAACACAGCGATTTTTACAAAGCTAGCTCATGTGGAGATGGGAAGCTTAGGTTTCTTCCTCAGAGCACTTTTCTTTGCCACCAATAGGGAAGGCTACTGAATCTCTATAGAGTATGTTTTCCTTACAGAAGCTCAAAAGAAACAAATGGAAGATAATGCTGATTTGATTCAAGAGGAATGCATATCAGAGAATGCAGATAACTCTACAGAAGAGCCAATTGAAGGAGGGCCAGATGCAGATGGGGATGGAGAAGAGATGACTGATGGGATAGAGGAGGATTTTGATGAGGATGGCAGCAATGAGCTGGTAAGGAATAACCATGCCATGTCTGTCTATACAGTTGCTACAAGTAACCACAGAGAACCAACAATCTGGATTAACAAAAAAAGCTCACAGCAGCACTGTGGTGTTCTATAACTAGTACGTAGTTCTACAGTCTTCACACACTGTAGTATCAATTAAGCATAGGGCCCTCTGAGGATAAACAAGAAAAATATATTTTATTTTGGTGATTTTAGAAAGGAAATGCACTGTAAATTGTTTTACATTTATTATTTTACATTTAATGACATGTAGATATGGGGGGGAAGGGGAGGGGAGCAACCATGTCCATGTTTTCCTAACTGGAGCATTTCAAAATCAAATAAGATTCTAGAATGGAGAATTTTCTCATTAGTAAACATGTGCTCCCCCATAATTCCCAGTCCCTGTCTTCCATGTGTATCTTCTGCAGGCTGCGTTGGTGGCTACAGATTTTTTTGATGGAAGGATTTTTCCCTAAGAAATGTTCGGCTAAGAAATGTTTGGGTTTTCAGCCTGAGCCTGCACCTTTCATGAAATGCCCATCATGTTGTTAAACTTCTAAGTTCTTCTAGAGAAACATTAAAAAATATTTTGAAAGTCAGATTTATGCTTTTTTCTTCATTCCTAATAAGAATGGATCGTCACATTGTTTTAGACTCTATAATACTCTCCCTCTCTTCCCAGCCTTCATATTTTTTTGCTTGGAGCAGAAATCACTTCTGTTGCTCAGTGTCACTATTCCTGCTTGCTTTTTAACACACATTTAATCATGTCTGCACTGTAAAAATCATTCAGTGATACCAACAGAAGTCAGTCAGCAATGGGCACAGCTGAACCAACACCAAGTCTGGAGTAACAGGGCATGTGAATAACCAGTGTTTTGTACCGCTTACTGCAAAAGCAATTTAAACCTACTGCTAATTTGAGGATCTGTGTCCCTTTAGCCAGCACAAGGCCCTCTTGAATTTATAAATCTTGAATAGCATTATGCCCAGAAGCAGCTACTACAACCTGAATCCCCTCATCTTTTAACATGCAATGTAGAATAGATGACATTATCACTTTTTCTTAAAGGAATAGGTTCTCCTGTACAGGTATGAGGGACCTCTGTAAGCAGTTGCCGCTCTGAATTTGTAGGAAGTTGAAATTCCATAATGAATAAGTAGTTGTAAATGTAATATCCCACCATGGCTAATACCTGATCAGCTGAAGTGATTTTAGCAATAGGGATGACCACAGTTTAGCAAAACTGGTGGGTTTGGCACTAATTAGGTGTCAGACTCCCTGCTGCAGACAACTAAGTGGGGAAGTTAATGTACAGTATATTAGCCTCTGACTGTTCAGTGCTGTCATCTCACCCTGTGGGTATGACATATTTAGCATATATCTACACTATGTAATGAAGCATGATGTAGAAGGAATTTTTCATCTAGAAAAGGCCTAAGCAGCAAAGTTTCTAAAAAGCAAGCAGCACAGGAAAGACTTCATTAGCAGTGAAAGTCTGGAATTGGCACGGCCAGATTTGCACACCGCTGCTTCCAAGTTAAAAAGCCTTTCCAAGATTTATGTTATATGAAGTGCAGTGTGTTGCAGACACAGCTCCAAAGGGAGCTCAGAAGTCTGAGCCACACATCTAAGGCACAGGGAGGAACCAGCTCCAGTTCAGAGACATGCCATTACTGAGCCCCTTGAGTGTCGGGAGGAGGTGTCTCCCTGCATGTGGAGAGAGGTGTCCTCTGCCTTCCACCCTAGCGCTCGTGAACGATATCCCCCCAACCACGACAAGGTTGCAAGGTAGCAGGGAAAGGCCAAGGAAGAGCACTTATGTGCATCCCTTCGGTCCAGTGCACCCCATCCCTGTGCCAGGGCAGTGGAGCCAGGCAGCCTCATGCCTTCCACCTTCCCAAACGCTGGGACCTTCTAGCCAAGAAGCTGGCAGTATTGCACACTTTACAGCCCAGAACGAGATTGCCACTGATGTAAAATCCTTGTGCTTTTCATACTCCCTTGCCATTTTTGTTAGGCTTTGGAAGAGGCCACTTCACCTTCGTTTTCCTCCCTGCTACGATGGGATAATAACACTTACTTTCTTTTTCAAAGCCTAGGGAGATAAGTGAATGAAAAACTGCTATGGATTGGATAAAAGATTGCTCTACAAAGGATTAGTTCAAAGAAATCTCAGGCAATGGGTGTTTCCCACAGAGAGGCAATTATAAATTGAACTGTGCATCTTTCCTCTACAGTTTTCACCCAAACACTTGGCAGTATTGGCCAGTACTGTTGTAATATTAAGCTGGTAGTTTATGATGCATATTGTAATTTAGTCTGTTTTTCACTTATACTTACATATATTTATGTAGATATAATGGTCAATTCCTGTAAGTTTTACTTTCTACTCCAATCACTGATAGCTGTATAACTGGAAACTCAATAAGAATACTATCAAATATGTAGTGAATACCCCAGGAGAAATACTTGGGATTTCAGCACGCTTCTACCTGTTCTGTGCTCTGCTATCAGGCATTACCCTCTGTTTTGTGAAAATTAAAGTATATAGATAAGCTTGTTATAAAACAAGAAGTCCTAACAGATGTTGATCTCCTGTTTTATGAAAACTAAGTTATGTAGGAAAAAGAGCTGACTAATAGAAAACTTGTCATTTTGGAATGGACAACTCATTTGAGGGAAAAAAGGGGGATTTTATCACGAAAAGTGTTAAATGTAAAATAATTAGGACAAACTTTCCATGTGTAAAAACATAAGCTTGGACTCAGAATAAGAAGTACCCTTCCAAAGGGCATTTTTTAATAAAATCTATAATCTTTTCCAAATATAAAGTTAAAGAGATTTAGGATGATGATAAAAAAAATCATTTCTTTCATCACTAAGAGCAGCAGAGCAAATAGAAAAACATTTGAAATGGGCATAGCTAATGTTCTGAAGTCAGTTCAGCACCAAAAATTCGTTGTGAGTCCACTAGTCTGAAAAATATTGTTAGAGGGAGAGAGCAATATGACTTAAATTTAGACCTTAATGGTTTTTGCAGCGCTTCATATTTAGCTGTAAATCTCCTGCCAAGCCATTTGCCAATAACCTGCTGCAGGACTCTTTTTGCTGAACACAATACTCTGTTGTCTCTTTTTTGTTTCCCCTGGGACCAGCCCTAAGGCTGTTAGTAAAGGGAATTGTTCAATAAGGACAGACCCGCTGCCAGAGTCCAGATGCTGCCAGAATGGAGCCTCTGCATCTGTGTATTTGGGTCTGCACCTTTGGGCTAGAGGACTCAAAAATATATTTCTTTCTCTATTTCTAATTCTAACTTGCAAAGGAAGTTACTATGCAGGATGCATGCTGTGGATTTAGGTGGTAGGATCAGTTCTCTAAATTTGCACACTGCCTATTTGGAGGAACAGGTTACTGCACATTAAGTGAGTGATGGCAGCTGTCCTCATGTCTGCTTTCAGCCTAGACCAACTGTAAAGAAATGCGAAGTAGTTTAGCCTGCAGTCTGAGTTAAGTCAGGCATGGATTTAAGGAGGCTTTAGCCTCTTCATTTGCCTGCCTGGCTGCACACACAAAAACACATCACATTCAACAGCTGTACACCTTCTTCATCCACCATTTAGATCAGGATGTTTTTCATCCCTGCATTGTCATTTTCTACGGACTAAAGACACTCCCACAAACAGTCGTTATGGCTCAGCTGAAGTGTGAAAAAGTTTTACGCCACAATAACTTGATTGCCCATCTGAACTCTAATTCAAGACATGCTGCATTTGAAATACCTGCTACAGTCATCAAACATCATCTCTTGGGAAAGTTTCTTTTGTACCAACTGTTTGCCCACAAAAGTGTCTCAGTAAGTGTCTCCAGTACTGCAGACACTCCAGCTTGGGGATCTTTTTAGAACAATCCCCAAAGACTTTTGCTGCATTGACATACTGAACAGTTATTTAAATGGTGATTTCAGATATATGATCCAGCTATGTACGGATATGCTAGGAGAGACTGACAGAGTCAAATAATTGACTACAACTTGCTCAGTGAAGAGTGTCATATGCTTCTCACCCACCTGCTCTTACACGTTGGCCTCCCACTGCCCCTTGTACAAGGGCATGTGATAATACATTGTAGCTATACATATATATAAAATAATCACTAACTTGGGATGTAGCTCCAGAGCTTACTCTACAACTCACATCACTTAACAGATCATCAGAGGTAGCTGGAGCGGATGAAAGCTTCAGGTCTGTTTCCTTTTCTCCTTCTAGATAAAACAGCAAGTAGTTGGTTATCCCAGATTTTGCAGGACCCATGAGTAAGGCTTTGTATCCGCTCCTCGCATTGAACAGCTTCTAGCTGCAGTGAATTAAAAATCTTTGTGTTCCCCCTTAGTGCGAACACATCCACTCCTATTGCTTTTAATCTAAACTGTCCCTCAACAGCACTGTGTAAAAAACAACACACCTACGCAGCTTCCCATCTTGCCTTACAGAAAACAAGCTCCTATGAAGAAAGATCTTCATGTTTACTAAATTCACCTCACACACAAATCACAAACGGGCCACAAATCATCAGAACACAACTCATCAGTGATATCAAGCAGTTTCCAGGTACCTGGCACGGCTTTAAATTGTAAGGAGCAGGAAGGAAAGCCAATAACCTCCTCTTGTCCCTGTGGCTGCACAGCAGAGAGGAGAAAAGTCTCCTTTGCTGCACGCTCCAACACAGGTTTTGATATTTGTAAAGCAGCTTAACCTCAGTGCCTCTAAAACAAGCCCCTTCACCTTACTGCAAGTAGTGTCAGCAGCGTGTGGCGTGGCTGAGAGCACGCAGGAAAAGTTTGTGAATCGGCTTGCGTGGTGGTTTCCTTACTCTGCTGATTTAGCGGCCGGACAACCCAGTGCAGGCCCAGAGCATTTCATATAACTTCTCTGAGCTTGTTTTAAATGGCGCTAATCGATCATCAAGGAAGCACTGTCTCAAAATGAACTATAACTTAT